ATAATAATAATAATATAATAATAATAATAATAATAATAATAATAATAATAATAATAATAATAATAATAATAATAATAATAATAATAATAATAATAATAATAATAATAATGTTAATTTAATACTTGTGATAATTTAATACCTTATGCCACTCAAACTTCATATAAGATTTCTACTACTTTGCAAGACATCAATTCCGATTTTTTAGATATTTAGGGCAACGATGGGATAAAAAAAAAATCGATTTTAATTAAATTTATTGGTTAAAATGAATTAATTTTAAATAAAACTAATTGAGTAGAGAATTGGGTGGAATTTGGATTTGTATTTAAATATTATTTAAGATGTAATGATTTTAATTGATGTAAGGTAAAAATAAGAGAGAAATTATTAAAAATAATATGTTATTAAAGTATGCAAGTGGATGAATAGTAAAATAAAATTAATATAATGTGTGAAGATAATTGATTGATGTTATTTAATTATACTAATAATACTAAGAAGAGTTGGGGTTTGATTAAACTTGAGTTGAATTTTGAATTAATAATGTGAAAAAAATTATCCGATCAATTAAAATCGGATACAACTGGTAGTCAATCACGCCTAGGGCTGTAAACGAGCCGAGCCGAGCTTAGGGTGTTCGAACTCGAGCTCAAGCCCTTAACGAGCCAAGCCGATCTCGGCTCATTAGATAAACGAGCTTGAAATCGATCTCGAGCTCGAGCTCGAGCCTTAACGAGCCGATCTCGAGCTTTAACGAGTCGAACTATAAAAAATTATATAAAGATTCTATTTTTGAGCCTTAACGAGCCTTATCGAGCCGAGCTCGTTAGCCAAGAAGTGATCATAATCCCTCCCATTAACATAGCTGCAAAATTTATTACAAGCATTGTAAGTTGGTTGGTTCAGCAGGTAAACTGACATTCTAAGGCTTCGCACGAGGTTATTAACCATCTGATAACGAACTATAAGAATTTGACCAGCATATGTATTCGAAGGAGAATCATCTGGCAAATCCATTATTGCTAGAAAATCTAAGGAGTTAATCTCTTAAAGCCACATATAGGTAAATGCAAGAATAAAATCCCCGACAAAAGCAAAACAACAAACAGACTACACAAAGGTACCTTACCTGAATTTTTTTCCTATCTTCTGCAGCAATGGAGATCACATTGAATGTTCGGATTCGTTTAATAGCTTACAAAACCTGATCATTAGAACAATTCTCCAACGACGCATTAAGTTCTTCACAATTCTTTGGAGCCTCAATCATGTACTGAAGCTCCATTCTTTTAAGTGGTTCATCTTTATTGTTAGTTTTTGATTCAGTACTCCTCCTGAGGCAATGTCGGCCAAGATGAATGACGCCAAGAAGGTGCTAATTTTTTTTAGAGTTACATCCTTACATGGTTTGAAACTCAGAACATTAAATAGTGATGGCGGATCGCACTTTTGTAATAAGTGGCTTGGAAGTCTCCTTGCTAAATATGGTGTGAAGCATAAGATGACTACTCATATCATCCACAAGCCAATGGGCAAGCCGAGTTGCTAATTGGGAGACCAAGCAAGTGCTCGAAAAATTCATTGAAAGTCGTAAGGATTGAGCGAATCATCCTAATGTGGGCTTTGTGGGCTTATTGGACGGCGTACAAGACTCCCTTGGATAAGTCTAAAGCGGAGAAAAATTCCCCACATTCCCGTGCATCCAAGTCCTCAAATAACTCATATTCACTAGGGCATACAAGTCCAATAGGTCCTCTCCCGCGTCCGATGCATCATGAGGCACCATAAAATATACACCTTGGCCTTTGTGATAGGCCTGGTCTCCAGACGAGCAAACACCCTACTGGCTAACACCCAGTGAATATAGCGTAACATCGGGGTTGTCGGGTTGCGAATATCGGCGGCCTTCACTGCTCCTCGCGTGAATTGGAGTGGTTCACGATCCGCTCATTCAGGGGTCAACGTAATGGAGCCAAAATTGTGCCTCATTATAATTCATGTTATCCACATATTCGACCCCTCCCCAGAAAAGTTCACGGTAGGTCGACCTCATCTAGCCGCCATGATTCATTGTCCAACTGAAACGTATTTTCCAAAATATTATCGACTCGTGCCTCCTCGTCGTCTTCAAGGTCCTTAGGACTTCAAACACCATTCTATCATGACGATCACGTCAGATGTTCATGTTTCCAACCACGTGAATTGAGGTCCAACTGCCTCATGAATACCAAGTGCGTGCTCAGCGGTCTCATCCAAGTAACAAGAAATAGCAAACAAGTTTGCAATAATAATATAATAAAGTCAAAACCTCTGGCAAAAACCAACAATTGGTGTTCAGCTTTTTTACCAACAACAGTTTGATTATAAATAAATTAGCAAAATATTTAAGCTAATGTCTTCTTACAAAGAAATAAAAGCAAGCTCACCTGCCCTTTCATGTTGTGACCTCAGAATTGCCTTGTCCAACTCCCCCAAGCCCCTCGTTTTGCTCTCCAATAGGCTTATCAACAAAGGCCGAAGATTTTGTGCTCTGCTCATATTCCTTTAGCAATGTCTTCTGCCTCTACATTTCACAAAATCACAACGCAACTTCACAGACCAAAATATGAAGACAAACTCCCAATGATCACACCCCCAACAAACTTCCAATCACTTGCTCCAAAGTGAATTAAAGCTATTGAATTTAACAAGGGAACACGAGCAAAGGGCAACTAGCTTAAAAAACCCGAGTAACGTTTGACTCGCAATATTCAAACAAACTACTTTCATCAATGAATTCATTCAAGAGATTTTCCGAAAAATGTCGAGCCGGGCAACAGAACATGGGAAAAAAAAACAATTCAGCACTAGTTCAGAAAAGCTATCACAGCCTAATTCATAAACATAAATGAAATAAATGGGGTAAACAGCATGAGAATTCAGCACACGAGCTCAAAATTATTCAAATGGGCGACCAAAGCCAGGACCTTTTGAATGGCGAGTGAAGGAGAGAGCCCAATACGGCGTCGCTCCTCCTCCTTGCGTTTCTTGCCCAATGTATAAAACTTGCGCCCTGACCACATGCTCACAAATGGGTTTTCCTTGGCCAATTTGTTCTTACTTTTCTTCTCCTTCGAACTATCTATCTGGGCTTCATTTTTTTTCACCATTTTAGCAAATTATTTTGCTCTATTTGGGCTTTTTGGTTAATAGGTTACTCTTGGCCCAAATACAATCATTTCTATCACTTTTTTTTTTTTTTT